TTATTTAATAACAAATTATGTTTATTTTATTATAAATGTCAAATAATATCAAAATATAGAAAACAATGCATTACAAGTCGTTCTCTTAATGAGGGACATTAGGGCGGTGAGAAGCACGACATGCTCCAAGTTGGATCCTTCAAAGTCACTACCTTTCAGATATTTGTTCCTTATAGCGAAAGTCTGCGAGTTCAACACTTGAAAGCGTCTCATACGTTCACCATACGTTTAAGTTTCTGCATAATTCGGAAAGTATGGAAAATTAAGTAACCGTTAAAAGATTAAGACTTCCAAAAAATATATATTATCTTTGGCGTCAGCACGCTGCACTCTTAACATATGATAACAAAAGTCCAAAACTTCAAAACGCCTTTATTGACCTAATAGAAAAATTATCGCCCAATTGAGGTGTGGCTACCACTCTCTATTTTAGTTATAAAGCTGTTTTAGGCAGCAGATCTGTTGGTAAAACCTTTAAAAGCCGGATCACATGAGAACTAATAATATTCCATACACAAAATCTTAACTCTAACAAATTACCGTAATTGGCAAGTAGCCGTTTATCCATTTCTCCCTATCAGCAATTATAAGATTAGACCCAGTCTTCATAAGGAGCGAATTTTCGATCAAGTGTAGGTAAATAAGAAAACTTTATATTTTTTTATTTTGCTTTTTTCAATTCTTGAAATAAATACCAAAATAAATAAAAGGTACGTTCTGTTTATGTTGTATGCTGCCATAATAATGTCGATTTCTTTAGTTGCGGAATAGTTCTCTGCATTCAAACTGTTGCATTTCAGTTTGCTGCACAATCTGCATGCATAACGGTAACTTATGTATGTTTTCAGATTTCAAGAAGCAATGGCTAATATAAGAACAAAAAGTACATACGTACTTAATGTACAAGTGCATACAATATGAACCATCGCAAGAGATGTAAATCAAAGTAGTAAAAACACACGAAAAAATTAGTAATTTAGATGCATTTTTTTTTTTTTTTTGACAGATTTGTACTTTGTGTACTTGCTGTTCATTTTTCGGGTAGGATTTCAAACATTTTTGATCATATTTTATTAAATTTTTTATTTTACAATTAAACGGTTGCTTGCCGTAACCATACTCTTGCCCAACGAGTTCAAAAATTGTGATACGTATTCAAAACTCAGCATAGTTAATTTTCACATTAAATTACTATTGTGGATCAATTTTCCTCATAAAATATTATATTAGACTTTTCCGCCCTAAAAACCAAAAATTTTCGTGCAAATCTTTATATAGGGTTCATGTTAAAAATAGGTGAGAGTGGTCCACATTTCGTACAGTGGATTTTTTATCTCAAATTACTATCATGGATTAAATTTAATCATAACAAATTGGAATTTAAATTTTTTAGACCTAACGAAGCACTTAAATACACTAACAGCACCGCTGTCCGAAGACAGGGAAATCTTTGACATAAATAAATGCTCTTTATAATATAATTTTTTGTTTTTTTTTAATTATAACGTACTTGCACATGTCGTTGGTGTAACAAAAATTTTCAGGTGTCACTCCATTAACTACTAAATGTAAAAAGGTCTGACCAGCTGACACCCGAGTATCGCTTTTTATTTTTATATTCGAATACAATAACTCAGCTTGACTTTTGCTAATTTGGACTTGGTTTGGTAGAATTTTTGTTATAATTTTTATTAAATATAAAGCGGTTGTAATGTTTTGCTCATTTTGGTCCTGAAGTATAGATAAAAATTTAGAATTTTTAAAAAAGACAGATTACTAATTAAAGAACAAATGCTTACAGCTATCGTTTGTGGCACATCTTTTGGTCCGGGATTATTAATTTTTTCATTATTTCGTTCGATTTCTTGTTGACATTTAACTAGCACCGATAATACTTGATCTAAGTTAAAATTTTCATTTTCTAGTCGTAACATTTGCGAAAACAACTGAGCAAATCGTAAAAGGTCTCGTTCCACAGAGACTTAACAGAGAAGAAGAATACATTCGATCAGTTTTTTCTTTCATCCTTTTCTACATACATTTATAATATACCATACGTAAATCCATAGCGTAATTCCGGAGGACTTGGAATTGTGCAGATCGTCCGTGATCGAAGGAACCCATAAATTTGCAAAACCAGTATCAAAAGCCACTTTGAAATCTTGACTTGGCGTATCAATTGAGAGGGGCCACAATTAGTTCAATACATTCGAATACGATGGTAAACAAAGAATATAAAGGGAGCTTAACACAGCGATGACAATCCAATCAGCACGTAAAGCGTGTAAAACATGATGGAGTATCTGTCGTGGTTTGAGGATGTCTATGAATAACTTAAAACATATCAAACAGTTTTGGAATGATCAGATGAAGGTAAATGGAAAATATACTTTGGACAGGCGAAACAAAAATAAATGTTTATTTAAAAATGATGCGGGAAGAAACATACTTCGGTCCATTAGGTTTACTAAAATAGCAGTGAAGCATGACGGAAGAAATCTTATGAGAGGATGTGAGTCTGATACGTCTCAAAAAACGCAATGGGCAGATTTGTATACAAAAATGTGATGGAAGCTGTAACGTTACTGCAGGGCCATTATGTTGGAAATGACGGCAAAACAATGATCTGAAACATACATCTATTATCCTGTTTGGCGAAGGCGCGTTTCCTGCATCACATTTTGGATTTTATTGACTGGCCAGATCACCCCTACGGCCTCATTTCTGTTGAGAATGTTTGTGGAGTACTGAAACGTAGGGCTTCCTATAAATGGTAAAAATGTGAAAATTGTGAGAATCCTTATATAAGGTAGGATCCAAAAAATAGACTAGGATAGTCCAAATTTGGTACAGTTATTTTTTTTATCTTAAATTATTATTATGGTCTGACTTTCGTTAAGAAGCATTCAAAATTAGACCTTTTTGTCATATGAACTTTAGTTTTCGTGATATGAGAGACGGTTCAAAAATTTGCTCGAACCTGTCCAAAGTTCTCACACCAATTTAGTATGACGAAATATTATTACGTAGCTGCTTTTGAGATGATATTTTGATAATTCCAAGATTTTCAGGAGAATACTTTTAAGAAATCTTTCTTCAAAAACTAATTTCATTTTTTTTTCTTTATTTCTTGACAATTAACTTAAACTTAATTAATAAATAGATTTTTTTGCCTCGGCATTTGTGCACAAATTGAAAAATCATTGTTTATTAAGTTTACAATCATTCGACACTTTAAGGGTAATAAAAGATTAAATCCTAAAAACCAAATTAAATTATTGGTAATTTTTGTAAAAAGGAAAGAAAAGAGAGAAAAAAGGTTAAAGTTTTCCTTCGAACGGTCGCAAGCGAACACGTTGCTTATCTCGGCTATCTCTTACAGATCACCGCCAGAACGATCCACTGTGATTTTCCGTTTAAATTTGGCAGCCTCCTCTTTTCGTGCCTCTAGTTCGGCCATACGGGCAAACCTTGCATAGGATACCTCTCCCGTCTTAATGGCAGACATCATCTGTTTAATATTACCAATTAATCATCATTTAATTTGAAATAGAAATTTTAAAGTCTTACTTGCAAATATTCATCTAACGCCACTTGAGCGGTTGTGTTAGTGTCAATTTCTTTAAAAATTTCATGCAATTTTTCACCGCAAATTTCGCCGTCGCCGTAGCTCTAAGGAATGAACGTAATTTTTTTTAATTTTATAATAAAAAAACGCACATAAATAGAAGAAGTAAAAACTATAGTGGTCCTTAGTCGCCGTTAGACACCCTACATCACTCCGATTAACGCAGTTAAATCGATTCAGAAAATGATCCTGCCTCGATTATAAAAGTCCTACTAGGTGTTGCATGCATCCACACAAACTTAACTCTTTTACCATAAGTGGTGTAGGGTATAAAAATTATGAGCAAATGTTTACCGTTAATGCTCTTCTTATGTGGTTGATGGAAACATAACCTTTCTTATCTTTATCAATGATTTCGAAGCGCTTAACATATGTCTTTACTTCTTCGCTAGATAAATTCACATTGACTTGATCTTTGACGATACGTTTAACTGCCTGGCCCATTTCAAGAGCCAAAAATTGTTTTGTTAATTTCCTTCTATTAAAGAGAAAACAGCAATTAATTATATTAAATCGTTTTTAAGGTGTATACGGCCTAAACTGTTTTTCATGTTTAGACCATTTCAATTCTTCAACTATGATATCAAAAACTACGGGTAAAGTTTCTTGGACATTTGGAAAAGATAAACGGAAGCGAGGTGCTATCATGTCAACTGCATTGCAAACATGTTCAAGAACGCCATAGCGTATCTGAGCATCAATATAAGGAAAGTCGGGATGTATACGGTTACCAATGACGGGACAACGTTTGCCGGTAAGGGGAGCCATTTTTGCAACAGCAAAAGAGCGATACCTATCTCCGTTATACTGAAAAGGGCCTTAAAAAAGGGAAAGGAATTAAGCTATACAGTATGAACTATAATAATGGATGGCCGTGGCTGATTTTTTCTATTTTCAGAATAAAAGTGTAAATTTATATATCATATGTGTGAAAAACGTAGAAAACAAAGGTATTCACAGTTTTTGTTGCATAGACTTGTAGGCGTTATAGGTGTCTCCTTTGACCGGTTTGGGCCATTTTCAAATTCTTTTGGAAATTTATAGATGATATCGGACGGACGGACAGATAAATAGACTGGGATGCTTGGGATCATTGCGAACTTGAAAATGACCAAGAATTTATATACTTCATGGGGTTTTTGAAGTTTTTTGTCCTCCTTATATAGGTATATAAGGAACCAAAATTTAAATTTTTATACACCATAATTTTGGACAGACATGGACAATTTTTCCGATTTTTGTAGATTCCGATTTTTAATAGATGTATCTGTCTGCCGAAAACAGAGATGTCCTCAATTTGCGTAGTGCCGTAGGCGTTTTATTTGCTCTCATTATGTACGTTTAAAAGTTGCATGTATGCTTATTATGACCTGTATTATTATGATCCTTTCAATATTGGCCGTAATATGTTTTGGGTCTTCACGTTTGTGTGATAAGAAGCCCAGTAAACTTCGAGGAAAAGGTCTCAAACATGACATTATTTTTTGTGATTAAACTGACGAAGAAAAAATTTGGTTCAAAATATTTTCCGATTATTTGGTTTTTTTTGTCTGCCGTACTTTTTTTACCTACAAAGCACTAGCACAGTTAGACGAAAGTCAAACGTTCAAATTTAATTGTCCCCATAGGTATCAAAATAGGCAGCGATGCTTTAGTACTAAATAATACCAAAAAACGGACAAAACCACATTAAAATATTAAATACACTAGATAAAGAAGTCACAATGCGACACCTACATATCAACACCAAACCACTCCATACAGACCAAATCATACAAAACACCAATATACACACTCAATATGATGAACAACGATTTCAAAAAATACTACAATCCATAAAATTAGACACCGTCAACAACTCTCAAAAACAAGAACTCATAAAAATTTTCAAAAAATTTCAAGCCGTATTCCACCTAGAAAATGAACCACTCACAGCAGATAATTTTTATACACAAAACATAGAAACAAACGACAATACACCAGTATACATAAAATACTATAAATTACCCCACACACAAACTGACATCATATATACTCAGGTAAAAGAATTACTACAACAAAACATTATAGAACCCTCAATTAGCCCCTATAACTCACCACTTTTACTAGTAGCAAAAAAAAATCAGACAGACATAAAAAAATGGCGACTGGTAGTTGACTATAGAAAACTAAACGAAAAAATAGTAAACGACAAATTTCCCCTTACAAGATTAGAAGACATCCTAGATAGACTAGGACGAGCAAAATATTTCTTCACTTTGGACATGACAAACGCATTTCATCAAATAAAACTTAACAAAAATTCGCGACCTTTAACCGCCTTTTCATCAACAAACGGACATTATCAATACACGAGACTTCCGTTCGGACTAAAAATTTCGTCCAATATTTTTCAAAAAATGTTAACCATAGCTTTATCAGGACTAGACACGGAAACATTTTTATACGTAGACGACATAATAATACACGGATCTAGTTTCGAACATCACAACAGAAATTTAGCAACAATACTAGAAAGACTTAACAAATACAACCTAAAACTAAATCCATCCAAGTGCAACTTCCTACAACCAGAAGTAACCTATTCAGGACACCTAATAACACCCGAAGACTGTAACGTCCGCGAACAAACTTAGGGTAGGGTGTCAGTTGGCCCGTGTCAGCCGAAAAAAATAGCAATAACGGCGTCCCGTAATGCAAAATCGCGTGATTTTGCGGTTTGGTCTTTTTTTTTTGCAAGAATAGCGGCTAGCCGCTAGATAGCAACGCAAAGAAAAAAGAGAAAAAAAAGAGGAAGAAGAAGAAATCATGCGAAAAGAGTAGGTTTTGGTTTGTTTTTGATTTGTCAGCGAGAGAGTCAGTTTTGAGTAGTGAAACAGAAAAGTTCGTTGATATGCTTCTTGTCGTTGTGTTAGTATGATCTTACGGAGAGTTATATAAAAAAAAGCAAAAACACAAAAGAAAAAAATAATAGAATAATTGAAAATATTCGTACAAAAGACAAAATTGAATTATTATTGAAAACTTTCAAAAAAAGAAAATAAGGCCATTTATGCAACTTCAAAGAGGGACAGACCAGAGCCCAACAAGTCAAAAGTCGTGTAACTGAACATAAAAAGATAATACTTTTCATTCAAAAAAGGAATAAGTATTGTAATCATCCTCAGCTTTCAATAAAAATTGAACAGAGTTTGGTTTTGACAGCGCAGCATAAATCTTCTGTTTTATCTTGAAAAAAATCTATCGCTAATAAAAAAATCAAAATACTTTGATAGGTTTTATTGTGTTGTGTTACTAGAAGAGATTACATTGCAAACAGTACAGTAGAATGTGCAAGGAGAAAAAAAAAAAACCAAGAAAAAAAAAAACAAAAATTGTGCGACAATTATTTGTAAAAATTTATGAATTTGTTAGTAAAAGAGATTACAAAAACTGTGCAACAAATATGTATAAAAATTTGTGAAGTACATTTTAAGAGAAATTTATTTGTGTATTAATAAGAACCGGCAAATGTAAAGGATGTGACATGATCACCCAAGAAATAAATGAAAGAAATTGTGTTTGTCATAGTCAAAGATTTGAAGAAGTTTTTTTTCAAAGGCGATTGTGAGTGACTGAAAAAAAAGGAAATCAAGCTTACTAGAGAAGCATACAAGCATATCACTATGGATATGAACAAATTTTTATATAAGCAATCGCGACAAATACCAAAGTATTGATGAACATAATTTAACTAAAAGAAAAAGAAAGAAAGGCAAACGCTATCTACGTAATAAGAGGAGAAGAGAAAGTAATTTGGCGATGTGGAAAGGTCGAATGAAGGGCAAGCAATCGCGAACGGGCGTACGTGAATACATGTAGTATTGTGCAGAGTAGAAGAGGAAAATCTACTAGCCTAGTGGAGTGAATTAATAAGTGGCGGCTAAACACTCAGCGAAGACTTAAAACCAGCAAAAGGGAGAAACAGCAGTCAACTCAAGGCAGCGCTACAGCTGTAACGGTCAAAAACACAGTTATCATTTCGTTTTATCCCATGTGCTGTTGTTTTCTGAAAATGATTAGCTAGGTAGGTACACCCCACCGCTGAGGCGGGATATGGTGTGGTGTGCAGGTGAGGGGAGGTAGATGGACTGTGGACAGATACCGTCGGACAAAGGAGGGACCAACGGACGACGTACAGGGCGGACAACATAATACACGTGAAGTGTGTTACTTGTAATAAATATTGCTTTTTTTTTTTACGTCATAATTCTCCCATGGCCCCCAAAGAAAATCTACACCCGACAGTTTTTTAAATATTAAATTGATTTCAACGTTCAATACAAGAAAGTCTCTTGGTCGCTACAATAGCGCCCGACGGTATGCACGGACCGGTTCTTTCTTTTATTTCCTTTTATGGTAATTGTCGGTGACGTTGGTCGCATAACTGCAATAATAAGGCGCCCAACGACATTCGAACTGGGGAATTCTTTTGAAGTCCTTTCGCTTCAAGGGAATTTCCCAAATAGTAATACCAAATTTTTTTTTAATTGTTTTTACTTTGATATAAGTTGGCCGCTACATACAGTGGCACCCAACGTAAGTCAAACGAAATATTTTAATAGTTTTCAATTTTTATTTTGAATAGAAGTTGCGTTCCAAACAATAGCGCCCAACAAAAGTCTCATAACTCTACAACGGATAGTAGATAGGGACAGATGTCTCTTGGGGTTTAACGTCTGCACCTGGCGTGATGCCTTAATCAGACGGGGAACTCTACAACGGATCTAAGAAGTCGTCGGTTTTAGGCAAAATTAAGCAAACTCGGCACTCAATTCGAATAGAACTTTCCCATGTAAAACAGCAAATGCGCTAAGGCGTCAGCTGTTTTAAGCAACTTTGCTTTCCCATTGTGTGCACCTGCTTTATGTTTTATAGCTTTGTTTTAAATTAGGAAAACACCCGAAAATTTATTTAACGTTTCTCGTTATTATCAAGAAGCCACGTTCACTCAACAAATGAAATTCAAGTTTTTACATTGTTTCGATTATGCGAGAACTAGATAAACATAAACAACTGTAACTTGCAATGTCATGAAATTTTCGTTTGAACGACACTATTATCTAGAAATCGTACGAGCCTGTCAACCATATTGTCATATATCAGATCGGGAACTTATTGAGTGTGCTACAGTTGCCGTTTTCCGTACAAAGCAGGTTACTTGCAAATATATCATGCAAGTTTCTTAAAACAATTTACTTTTTGAGAAATGTTGAAGCAACACCTCCCTGGATGTCTGCTTCAGTTCTGTTTTGCATTTCATGGTAATGAAAAATTTTGCTTTCTAAGAATGTTTAATTGGCAGTTTGCTACCATTTATTTCATGTTCAAAGTAATATTAAAAAGCCCTTCACCTTATTCGCCTTAACTCTTTACTTATCCATCACATATTTCATTTCGTTAATTTTCCTTAAATTTCAGAACCATCATCTACGTCTAGTGGTCTGGCTGAAAGCGTTTGTGTCCCATAGAAGTCGCTTTTTAACATTAGCAACGCACTTCACTGCACTTAATGTTCGTTTTAAGACAAAGTTTTTAAAACCTTTCTAATAAGTTTTATAGAAAATCTTTCAAAAATACAAAAGGAGATCTTGGTTATTCGCTTGCAAACTAATCGTAGCAATTGCATTTAAATAGTTACATCTATTACTGGCAATCATAGCATATTGGACTAGAAAGAAACGGCTCGGTATTTAAATTAAGCAAGTAATTTGGAAATTCTCATTGGCTTTCGATCGGCCCATATATTTTATTATATATTTATTATATATACCATGGAACTGCGCAAATACATTAAGACACGATTGTGTATACTACGTCTACCGAAAAGTTCTGTTCGATTCTAGAATCCTAATTTCCGCATATGATCCGAAATGGCTTATTGAACTGCATCAAGTATTTCCGCAGTCTCCGATCTTGTCCAAAAAGAAATTCGCTCTCACGTGATCTCGACAACATCGTCGTCAATCAAATATGGTCGCCCAGAGCATGGCTTATAACGCTTATACCACTTATCTAAAGCTTCCTTCTGCATCTTCCGCATGTTCTATCAGAAACTGTACTCTCATCAAGCACTTTCAATGAATCTCTACACTTTTCTGTAGCATTTCTTCCTTGTTAGAATTCGTATAAAAGATAGTGGTGTAAATGAACTTCACCAGTACTCATTCGTAGGTGATAGCGTTTCACTTAACACTAACATGAATCCTTTTCGTTTTAGTTCACTTGCTAAGTTAGTATGTATACATCCAGTGATAAAAAGAAAATGCAAATGTTTCAACCGAAACGAACAG